CAATCATGAAGAAAATATTTTTTTCATATAAAAATCTGAAAAAAAAAGAAATCAAGACATATTGATAGTTTTTGACACAAACAAACAAACAAACAAACAAACAAGAAATAGACTAGGGAAATGATGTTAGATAACAAGATATTATACAGAAGATAAAGATATATCTTTATTTTTTTTTTGTTCCATTGTTTGAACAGGTGAAGTTCGACGACGTTCATTATTTCTAAATAAAAACATTTTATTGCATAATGAAATATAAAATAATAATAAAAAAAAAAGAAAAATCAAACATACGATCCAGATGAACTATTTGATGATGAAGAGGACGATGACGATGATGAAGATGATGTACTTGAACTAGATGATTCTCGTTTTAATTTATGTCGAGTTGACATATCCGAATGAGATGTACGATCAATACTACGACGACGATTATCTTAAAATATAATAAGTCATAAATAAATCTTTAAAGAAAATTTTTTTAAATAAATGTACTTCGTTCACGATCATCTTTTCGTCGATCATAATCACGATCTTGACCTAGAATAATATTTATTATAAATAACAATACAATAGATGATCATTACATTCTCTTCTATTATAGATAGAATTTTAATCCGTTATCTTATTGACTATTATTTCTCAATATTATAGATATTCGTCTTTTTCTATACTTCATTAGTAATAAACAATGTATAACTATATTCTTGACATGATTGTACTTGCTAATAAGAAAAGAAGTTATGGTGCACATTAAACAAAACTCTGTAGATAAATCATCGTTAATAACATACTTCTCTATAACCCATAAAAGACATAAACTAAATATATATATATATTTCTTTGTACTGATAACTAAAAGAAACATTTTTTGACAGAATGTAGACAGCTTCGCTCTTTTCAATCAATCTGAATAGATAAAAAATTATTATACAGAATAATATTACATTTGAACGCAAACATATATTTCTTATTTCGAAATTGTGATGTTAGATGAGTCAAAATAATGAATGTATATCATATGATAGATAAGAAAAAATCATAAGAATTTTTTATCGTTGACTATCTCAAATTGCTTACTAAATGTAGGAGATAATTTGTCAGTTTTTGAGACAATTTTTTTTTTTTTTTTACAAAATAATTATTTTCGTCTTCAAATAGAAGACAAACAATGTAGTAGTGATTATTTTTCTTTTTCTTCTACATGTCATCTTTTATAATGATGAAATTTGATAAACTTTTTTTTTTTTTTCTTTTTCAATGATACATTCTTTTTTGATTAGATAAACTAGTTTCTATTTAACATAAAATGTTTATTGACAAAAATGTTACAGGTACTTTTTCGAACACTATATATACTATAGCTGAGTTTTTTTGTCTGATCAACAAATTTATATAATTTTCATTGAGTAGAAATATTATATAGAAATCTTTGTAAATTTTTGAAGGTAAAGGAGTCTATCTCTAAAGTTATCTAAAACTTAGTAGATAATATTACTAGAGGTTCGAAGAAACTGACGAGTTTGTCACAAATTAAGTTGTTGGCTTAAAATAAATTTTTTCTAAATTGTTAGTAAAAAAAAAACAAACAAACTTGATATCTTAATTAGAACATCGAGGCATCATAATATGTAGTCTAGTATTTTTTGCTGCTCGAAAACAATGATTCTGTTTATTATTTTCACTAGATACGATCATAACTATGAATAGATTATAAACTATACGGTTTACATTTTATTATTCATCTAGTTGTTTCACAACACTTCTGTGCACATATTCTAATCAGTCATTATTATTATTATTATCTTACGTGAATTGTTAACTAATGCTTTTTTTTCCTCTAAACTCATATTTTTGTATTATCGTCATATAACAGAATTTGATATGCTCTTGTTAATCAGCTCATCAACATTCATTTAAAACTAGAGTTATTCCTGAATGTTAATATTTTCTTTTTTATCTACTCTCAGCAAGTCTATCATATATTTCTGTCATTGTGATATATATGACCTCTTTAACGTCTTCTAAACAGTGTTGTGTTTATGTTTTTTTATTCCATTAACGTCATCATGTTAATAGATACGAAAAAGAAGAAAAGAACATAGGTCATGGTAGACAAACAGACCTACACAAAATCGAGCTCTTTAAATATGTACTTACAATGGCCTAATGTCTTTTTTGTTTGTGTTCTGTCATATGAAGTATTCTAATCAAGTTTTATTTTATTATATATGTCATTATGACATGGTCACATCCGGATGTTATTTATATGACTTAGTTGTTTTTGATAGTTAGTTCGTTACAAGTATGTTCTTATATATATAATTTTTTTTCTTCTCTTATTTCACAATATATGTTTTAATAGAACAAGTTTGTTACTTTTTTAGTACAAGAAATATTACAAAAACAAACAAAGAAAAAAAAACTGTATCATATGTTAATGTGGTTTTTCTTTTTGTTTATAAATATAGCTGAAATTTTTGATAATTTATTTATGTCAAGTAAGATTATTTTGCATTGTAAATTTATTGTGTTATATAAAAAGAAATACTAAAAATAACTTATTTCAATTATATAAAAAACATTAGAAGAATTTATGATAAAAATTTTCTAATTAATTTAAAAACATCGTAAGTAATATTGTTTTTAATATCGTACAACAACTTTTATGATACGAAAATCATGATATTGAAGTTAGATAACCTATGAAACTTATACTAGATCTTTCGATCAACAATTCCAATGGAAGAAATTAGAGCTTTTGAGATATGTATATATATGATCATGTGTAAAAGACTCAATAATTCTTTATAAACTTGAAAAATTTACCTCGATGTCTATCATAATGACGATCACGATAAGATGATGGAGGTGAATATCTTCGACGATTTCCACTATGTTGACGATTGTAGTCTTCCCGACCACGATATCGATTACTACTAGTTTGTGATGTATAATGTTCACGTCTATGATAATCATGTTCACGACTATGTCGATCACGATCACGATCATGTTCACGATTTGATTCTTTTTCTCGTCGATTATTATTTGATGATGTTTTATCTTGTTGTTTATTAATAGTTTTTTCAGGTATATTAGATATTATTTCTGGAGGATTAATTTTTTCCTTTGATGTTCTATAAAATATATTAATAAAAATAATAATTTTATTGAAAATAAAAAGAAATAAAACATACATTTCATCTTCATCATCCCATTTCGATTTACTAGCAATTGTTGATATCTGTGGTTCTTCTGGAATGTTAACAAATTGATTTGATGGTTCCAGTTGTACTGCACTTGATTGTGCAATCATACGTAATTCTTCTTCAAGACTAGCTTGTTGTGCTGCTTGTTCTATAGATTGTCGTTCATTGAATTCTTCTTCATTTTCCCAACGTTTACGTCGTTTAGTTGATGAAATTGGTGCTACATTTACATCTTTTTGTTGTTGTAATTGAGAATTATTATTTTTATGTTGATCAACAACTGCTGGTGATGTTGAACGAACACGAGAAGATGATGGTGGCGGTGTTTTTGAACGACGATGACGTGATCGAGAATCTTTAGTTTGATGTTGATCAACCTTTGGCGAGGGTGAACGAACTCTTGGTGGTGAAGTTGGTGAACGATGAGGACGTGATCGAGAATCTTTAGTTTGATGTTGATCAACCTTCGGCGAGGGTGAACGAACTCGAGAAGATGTTGGTGGTGGAGTTGGTGAACGATGAGGACGTGATCGAGAATCTTTAGTTTGATGTTGATCAACTTTTGGTGATATTGAACGTACTCGTGAAGATGAAGGTGAAGGAGTTTTTGAACGACGAGGACGTGTTCGGGAATTCTTAATTTGACGTTGATCAACTTTTGGCGATGGTGGAGTTGGTGAATGATGAGGACGTGATCGAGATTCCTTTGTTTGCCGTTGATCAATCTTTGGTGATGGTGAACGAACTCGTGAAGATGGTGGTGTTTTTGAACGACGAGGACGTACTCGAGAATCTTTAGCTTGACGTTGATCAATTTTTGGTGATGGTGAACGAACTCTTGAAGATGAAGGTGAAGGAGTCTTTGAACGACGTGGACGTATTCGAGATTCCTTTATTTGACGTTGATCAACTTTTGGTGATGGTGGTGGAGTTTTTGAATGACGACGACGTGATTGAAATTCATTTTTTTCATGTTGATCAACTATTGGTGATGGTGAACGAATTCGAAAAGATGAAGTTGGAGGAGTTTTTGAATGATGATGATGATGATGATGTGATGATTGTCGTTGATATGATCGAGAATTTTTTGTTTGATGTCGTTCATTTGTCATTGATGGAGATTGATGACGACGATGTGATGTTAAATCTTTTTTTTCATGTTGTTCATTTATTGGTAATGGTGAATGACGATCTGATGGTGATGAAGTCTTTAAATTAATATTTGATGTATCATTTTCTTTATGTTTAGTACTATTTGATCGATGAATATTTGGACTTGTAGAATTTTCTTGATGTTTATGTTTTGATACTGATTCATTTGAATGATAATCATCATCTTTTCGTTTTTCATGTCGACGTGAATGTCGATCTTCTCTATTATGATCATTTTTTTCATCATCAATATGTTTACGTTTATGATTATTTTCAATATTTTCGTTTGTATTTGATTTACGATATTCATTTATATCCGTAAAACGTTTACGATCTTCAACAGCTAAACGCCAATGTGGTGGTGTACGTGATCTTGAACGACTTTTTCCAGTATATCTCTTTAAATAAAAAGAAAAAAAAAACAATTGAAAAGAAGAAAAACAAAACAAAACAAAACATCATCATACCATAAAACCACGACCTTTAACTGGACGACCACTTGAATCAATTTTTTTTGATGCACGATAATTAGTTGTACTAAAGAAAAGAAATATAATTTTTTATAAAGAATAAATGTTTAAGAAATTTTATTTTACCGAGTATTTAATGTTTCATTATTATCATTTAAAGTAGGTCGCATAAGAAATTTATGAGCAGGTATTTCAGGTATTTCATCAGGAGCAATTGTTGTTTTAAGACCCATTATATCACGACCAGATATTTCATTTGATTCTTTAATAATATTATTTGTTGGTTCATCAAGTTTATTCTCTTGTTCAATAGAAAGTTTTGCTAAACGTTTTGCTTCTTTCTTTTGTTGATGTTTTTCTTTTTTTTTACGTTTAGATTTTTTTTCCTTTTTATCATCATCATTAGATGATGAACTACTTTCACTAATTTGTTCATTACCACTTTCATCACCTGTTGATATTTTATGTTTCTTTTTTTTATGACTTTCTAAATGAAGAAATATAATTATAGATGTGTTTTTATTTTTTTGTTTCTCATAATAATAATAAATAAACAAAAACTTTGTTTAATTTTACTTGATACAAGTACAAGTTGACCACAATGAGATATTACAACATCTTTTGATGGTCGACTATTACTGGAATCAACTGAAATATTTTCAATTGCATCGACTACCGATTGTCCGGATACAACATGACCAAAAACCACATGTTTACTGAATACAAAAACAAAAAAAAAAACATTCAGATTCTATCAAAAGCTATCCAGTTTAATGATATGTCTCTTGTTTTTTTTTTATATGAAGAAATACTTTTGTGAAGATCATAATTAATGAAACATATTTTCATAAAGCTCTAGCCGAAGTTCACTAGAAAGCATTATAGTTAGTCAGAGAGTACTAGTCGAAGTCTTCGGAATCCTATCCTACAGAGGCTAATTCGAGATCGTCTTCAACATTGTTGACATATGACTAAAGATCATATATCAATAACTTCTTGTTCTACGATATGTACAACTCTCTTGCTACATGTCCATAAGATTTAATAAAAGGACAATGAACAACCTGTGTCTCAAAATAGATAGAATACAACAATCCATGCTAAAAAAAAACGTGTTATTCTTAATTTTGATATTATTACTGATATCTGAATGTTTGCAAAAATTTCTAATAAAACTTTTTCTTGTCCTATTGAATACCCATATGATTTTCAAAAAAAAATTACCCATCGAGATGTGATGCTTCAGATGTTGTACTAAAAAAATATATGAAAAATAATTTATTTTGAATTACATCAAATAAAATTTATTGATTTTCTTACATGAAAAATTGTGATCCATTTGTATTCGGACCTCGATTAGCCATCGAAAGAAGATATGGTCGATCATGTTTGATTTGGAAATTTTCATCTACAACAACAAAAAAAATTTTTTTTTTATTTATTAAAATCTTATTCAAATAATGAAAATAAAAATCTTTACCATTAAATGTACCACCATAAATTGATTCACCACCTGTGCCGTTGCCTGGAATTTAAAGACCAGATAAACACAAAAAAATCGTATATCAATTTATATAAATTCAACACCCGCTTTTGATGCGTGGTGACTAAAAGAGATAAAATAGAATTCAACGAGTATCCTTTTTTATTCTATCTTTTCCCTTTTATTAAATTATAAATTGATGATCAGAAGTGTTGAATGAATAAAATAAATCTTTAATTATATTACCTTCAGTAAAATCTCCCGATTGAATCATAAAATTTTTCACTACTCGATGAAAATAACATCCTTTATAATATAATTTTTTATATAATGTTAAACCACGACCTTTTTCTCCTAAAATAGATTAATTAATTAAATCTTTAAAATAATAATAAACAATTATTATACCTGTACATAAACATCGAAAATTTTCACATGTACGCGGACATATATCATTATAAAGTTCAAAGACAATACGACCAGCTAAAGACAACAAAAGATAACAATAAAATCTTAAGATAAAAAACATTTCTTTTGTATATACGATACCATCTTCATCATCAATTTTGATATCAAAAAAACAGCGTAACCTGGATGTCATATCTAAAAATATTAATCTATTGTAATAGATCTAGTAAGGTTAATTTAACATTAATATAATAATATATGTATGATTCAATAATTAATCATAAGAATAATGTATAACATAAAAGACAAAAGACAAAAACAAACAAATAATAAACAACAACGGATTGATCTTTCTTTCTATTTTATCGTTTGTTTTTTCATTCATTGGTAGAAAAAATGAACTAATAATAATAATGTTGTATTTATTGTTTTTTTGTTTTATAGAATAAAAATTTTCTCATTGATTGTAGTGACAATAAAAAAAAATTTCAAGCACGAGATACTCATTGTTTTATTTAAATAAACATTCTTAAACATGGGTGCAAATAATTCAAATACGAAATATCATGAAAATATTTGTAATACACCACCAAAAAATAATATTCAACTTTTATTTGATCCTCGATCTCCTAGTGGTAAGAGAATATATTTTAACATTATAATAAGTTTTAATCGAATCTTCTTTTTTTTTTGTTTTATTATTATTATTAAGATGCTATTGCTCGAACACCAATTCAAATCGATAGTCAAGTGCCTGTACAACCTTTAAAATCATATAATCATCTTATACCACGTATTATTGGACGAGATATAAGTATAAATGAAGAAAATAATGAAAATAATCCTTATGAAAAGAAGATTAATAATGATGGAAATGAATCAAAACATTTAATTGATGTTGAACCAATATTAGATCCAAATAAAAAATTAACTAATTTGGTTACTAACAAAAAAATGAACAATTAAAACCGTATTTAGTATGAGTATTTCTATCTGTATAGATCAAATAGTAGATGTTACATGTGTATATTTATATGTAATTAAACTTATTCTTTCGTTATCTTGTATTAGTTCTTTTTCTATATTAATAATAAAAAACGTCGACTCTTAAGTTAAAAATATATTTTGAAAAAAAACAATTGATTTTGTATTTCAAAGAAGATGTACATATTGTTGAGTTTTTACTATTTGTATATGAAATTATGAAAAAATAATCGATGAAACAACATGATTCAGAAAAAAAATTAGAGATGATCGAAAGCTTTTTGGATAAGATGTTTGTGTATTTGGAAATTGCTAGAAGAAATTTTAGACGAGTTACAAGAAGAGTTTTCGATTAGAGAAATGGAGCTTCATCTCATAATGTGCGTCTTTGAATAAGGACTTACATTGAATCAAACTGTAACTTTTACCGAAGTATCGTTTCAAAAATAAGTATTTAGAAAAACAACGAAAAATCAGATATTTCGTCAAAAGGCAAAGAAAAGAACTTCAAATATGATTACTCTCTAATAAAAATTGAGACGAAATTTTCAAATCCATATTCGAAAAGAGCACAAAATCATTGCTTTTAAATCGTTTGAAATACTTTTTAGAGGATCAAAAGTAAACAAACATCTTGTCTATAAACTTTCCGATCATCTGTTAACAGTTTCATGCTTATTGAAAAACAAAAAGGAAAAATACTTTGATAAGGCGCAAGTTGTAAGAAATAATGTTAAACGGCCAGTTCGATTCAGTAGGGGGGGGGGGATTCCTTATTGACCGACTTAGAGTTTTTTTCAATAATCTTACTGTAAAAATGTTTTTGTTTCTTAAATGAAACAAATTTTGATGATGTTGAAGATTATTTCTATGAGGAAACATGTATAAGAATATTTGATTAATTTTCAATGATATCAAATTGTGTTATCGAAAACAAAATTCAACAATTATTTAGAATTGTAATTTTGTGATAGATAGTTCGTATTGTACATATTTATGGCTCATCCGGCACATAAACATGAAAGATAATAAAATGAATATTGTATATGAAGCAGATTCAAAATACAATTAGTTAATAACATCTATTTGTGATAATCATTTAATAAGTGCACAAAATTTATGAGACAGTCGCGTATGTTAAGAACGGAAACTGTTCAATTACAGATGCTAAAATTTTGCTTGCACCGGCAATCAGTTTTCAGTCTGTAGTATTTGAAGAAAAAAACGCTTGAGCAATATTCTATCTGTTTTGTTTTTTTGAAACAAAATCAATCGGAAAAGTGATTTTATATTGTAGTTGTATACTACTTATAATACATGTCCTACATAGTAAACTTCGTTTAAATATGAGCTTACGAGTGAACATTAATATTCTGTATGAGTTCCGCTTTTCACAACCAGATAACTGTACCCGGTAACTAATTGGAGTTAGTTGACATCCGATAGATACTGTTCCAATCATAATATGGTTTTCGAACTTTTATTTTATACGAAAAACTATATACTATTTAGTTTCTTTCATAAACGACAGTAAAAAAAAACGAAAATCAATTTGAATTCCATAAAGAAGCAGATGATTTAGGAATCACTTAGTGTTTTTCTACTTCTAAAATTCAATCAATGTGATTATTTACAGCCTTGCTTGCTGCTGGTAACGATAGAAAGGAACTTAGTGTTAAGCTTACATGGAAAGGCTGTTATATAGAATTTGTAGACTTATGAAGTTTTCAGTTCATCGATAGAAGTCAAAAGAAAGAAAAAATTATAGAAATGAATAATAAAAAGCATAACAGTAATGAAACACGACCCTCATATCTTTACTGTAGTAATTGAGTGACAAATAGAACTAATCAACAGTTTGATTTGATTATTATACCGTGGAAAAACTGACGGATAACTTATACCACTACACCGGGCAGTCCAGTTATTTAGATCAGCACCGGTTGCAACATTATTAGAAACAATGATATTTTTCTAGAATATAGCTTTTTTTTTTTTAGTAATTAGAAATACGCCATTATTGATTGTATTGATCCATAAAATCAGCAATTATTGAATCTAAAATAGTAAAGAGATGATATTTTGTTTTTAACATTTTTTAAAATGCTATGAAGTCTTCCAGAATTTTCAATTGTTCAAATTCACTATTTTTCTTTTAACTTCAGTCGAAATATAATGCTGAATGAGTAAATTAACTTTTGAAAAATCATTATTATGTAGCAAGTTTGAATGATCAAAAAACTATTTAGTTACGAATCACTTAAAAATATTCTACTAGCATAGTATTAGTAGTTTCTTTAAAAAAAAAACAATGTTTAGTCTGAATACATATGAAATTAATGTTGATTAAGTATTTTCATTCTCAATTTGATCTCTTTAAAGATGAATAATAATACATATTCTTGCCATCATGAGTAAAGAAAATAACTTTGTTTAATTATCTATATTTTGATATTATATATATATAATTTACTTTTTGAAGAAGATTATTTTTGAAATTCTTGTCATATTTAGTAGAAAAAGACAATATCAATAAATATTTAATAAAAAAAAAAATAATTTGTTCTAGACGAAAAAGAAAAAACAGACTCTATAAATCTACTGAATTTTCACCGAAATTATCAGTAAGAAACTCTCTCATTTTTTCATATGATAACAAAGTTAATATAGCTGATGGTACTGTTCTTAGTAGATTAGGTACAAGACCACGATAAAATCCTCGTAGACCTTCTTCTTTAGCAATAGTTCGTACAGCATCACGTACATTTTTATATTCACGAAATTGTATTGTTAGAGTTGGAGATATTGATTGTAAATGTCGAGCATGTCCAGCATTTTGAAGACGGCTACGAACAATTTCATGTGGATATGCCAAAGAAGAAGCAATTAATTTCGAAATGCTCGATGCAAACATAAGTTGTCCTATGGATAGATGTTGATCAGAAGATGAATTAATAGCTAATTTTTTCTTAAGATATTCATATAGTGGAAATTGAATACCAACATGAATCTACGAAACAATAAAACAAGAAAATAAACAAGTAGATAACTTTTTATGTTAGGTTCATATAAAAGAGAGCAAAAAAAAAATAAAACTCATCAGAATATTAAAATTAATAAAATTTTATTAATTATAGTTATACTTCATTGAATCCAATGACATTAGATATATATGTAAAAGCAGCAAACTTAAATATACCTGTTATGTTAATCAATATTTAGTAGAATTAGATTAAAACTTTAGTTCCAATGAACATAGTCAATTTCATAGAAACTAAAATCTATCAATTTGGCAAAAGCTAAAATAGTTTTAGTACAGCAAAGTAGTTCTAATATATCAATTCACATTTCATGTTATAACTACCGAGCAAGAACTGCTGATATACAGATCAATATAATGTACACTATATCAGCGGTTCTTTTTTGAAAGTGGTGTATGATGGTATATTATGTCAAAACGAGTTAATATTTTTGAAGTCTGTTAAAACTGACAGAATTGAGTCGAGCATTCTGATATGTTGATGCATCTTAGTCGTCTGTATTAGCCACAGAGTTCTAATCAGTCCTAGTTACGAGATAAATTTTAATTAGAAAAATATATTCTAAAAATATTTTCTTGGATACTCAAAGTTTTGACAATCACACTTTCGCTAATGGTAAAACTCCAGGAATGTTGTTCTCTGTTCCTGCAAATTTGGATAGCGAACATTCTGCAATCGCTTATAGCTCTAACCGATTTTTGTGAATACCATGATAGATCAGCGATATAGCATAGCAATAAAGGTGATTAGAAGTTGTTCGATGATTATTGACGACGGAAAGGAATATAGACAATGTATAGTGTCATCTATTGATATGTCAATGTTACACTATAGAACTTGATAATGCATACACTGTTAGATAAACGAAGTCTTTCTCTACAATCCGGCATGTGTCCGATACTGTAATCAAATCCTTAAGGTTACCTTCATTTCTACTTCACTCTTTTTTTTTCATCATTTTTAAGTATATCAAAATATCGATTTTAATGCATAATTATTACATACCAAACCCATCATAGATGGTATAAGACCTCGATATAAAGCATAAAGTCCTTCAGTTTGATAAATTTTTTGAGCGGCATGAAAAGAATTTCGGTAATCTTCATGATTAAATTGTGTCATCATACGTGTACGAATTGTCCACATTGGTGCAACGGCTGTATTGGAT